CCCTCCCCACCTCTGAATTCACCTTCTACAGCATGGACCCCCCTGACAATGGCCATGGGGCTTGAGGCAACCTTTGCCTGGAACCATCATCCAGGTTCAGCAGATCCTGCTCTAGGTGAAGAAGCTAGTCTCCAAATGTAGGTAAGCACACTCTTTAAATTTGTAGTTTTAACTGTTAATGTTGAGATGTTGATTCTCTGTGTAATGTAATTTGGAAATGAGCTTAACAAAAGTGAAGTGAATTGATTGGTAATGAGTTTGTTTCAGATTTCAAATTGGTGAACTTTTTGTATCAATAGTGTCAAAAAACTTTTCATAATTTGGTTACCACTAAAGTAATTTCACTATTGTTGGTTATTGTTTTAATGTGTGAACTTGCCAAAAAGCTTTTTTGGGTTTTGTCTTGCTGAGAATTTGCAAGTATATAGAAATAATGTCTAATGATTGCCTTTTTACACCAGGACAAGTTTGAGATGTAAATCCTGGAAAAATTTTTCCTAAGCTGTGATTAGTGAAACTTGCTGTTTGAGGTAAAAGCTCATAGGATTTTATTTTGAGTTGTCTGATGGATCATAATAATCCATCAATCATCAAAATCTACCATCTGAGAGAAATGCCACAAGCTACTCAGAGAGAATATGATACTGGTGGAAAGTCAGCACTGAGAAAAGCTGAGAGGACAATTTTAGCCTCAGTCTGAGATGGGATCCTCCTGGCTCAATTTCCCCATTATGTTCCTTTGAAAAGGATTGTTACCCATCTGGCTGTTCCTGAGTCTGGCTATGATGTGTATTTGATACTGCATGGTTGGAAAACTGAATTATCTGAATTCAAACAGAGCTAAGGATGTTTTATTCTGTCATATCTGGGCACTGCAGTCTTTTCTGTCAGACTACAGACCATTCACCTACAGTTGGTAGCAAAAAGCAGGTACCAACCAATGTCCCCCATATTTCCCTGGATGCAGTCTATGCTTGGTTCCAGGCAACCTCCTCTTTGGGACCCCCTCAAGGCAGGGACATCTCTATGCCCTTTGCCAACAGGAAGCAGTTTCAGAAGTTAAGATCTTCACCCTTTACTCCAAAAGAATTTGGGTCCCATTTGTTTGAGGGCAAATCATGTAACCTCTCTCAAATTTTATTTCTCTTCTGTAAGATGGAGATAATAATAGACCTTACCTTTCAGAATTGTTATAAGGGGTCAAAAACAGGAAATGACTTGCCTAAGATCCTTCAGGTGTAGAGCAGAGCCAAGATGGCAGAGCAAAGGCAGCCACTTGCCTGAGTTCTCCCCCAAACCCTCCAAACACCTTTAAATAATGCCATAAAAAATTCCTGGAGCAGAACACACAAAAAGATAGGGTGAAATAGTTTTCCCTAAGAGACTACTTAGAAGATCAACAGGGTGAGAGTGGAGCACAGCACAGTGTATATTGTACCAACTCAGACCCAGCTCCAGAAAATCAGGAACAGGCCTTGGCAGCCACTGAATCAGCAATGGCAGTGGCAGCTACTGGAGTTCTCAGGCCACAGACCTGGTGGGGGGGGGAGTTTGAACAACTGGTTAGAAGGAGATTACAGGAGTCTTTTTGCTAGTACAGAGTCAGGACTCTGTTGCTTTGTCCATGTGCAGATACAAGTTGCAGTTCTGAGTGGCAGTCCCAGGGTGAGGAAGAGCACTAGCTCAGCAGAGCTTGTGGCCACAGTGGAGGAGGGACCCTCCTCACGGTTCCAGGGCAGAGAAGAGTGCTTGTGGCTGCTCATAGAGAAGAGCACAGGCCACGAGAGTAGCATCTTCTTAGATCCTATCACCCTGGAAGAACTGAAAACTTACAGGTCCATAGAAGTATCTCTGAAAACAGCTGAACAAAACCTCTAAAGCTTGGGACAGCACACCCACCACCCTGGAATCAGTGCCCTACTTTAAAAAAGAGTTAAAAATCAAAAATAGGCTGGGGCAATGAGCAAACAATAGGAAAAAAAAACAAACAAACAAACTTCTGACCCTAGAAAGTTACTATGGTGACAATGAAGATCAAAAAACACACAGAAGAAGATTACAAACTCAAAGCTCCTACATCCAAAACTTCAAAGAAAAATATGAATTGGTCTCAGGTCACAGAAAAGCTCAAAAAGGATTTTGAAAATCAAGTGAGAGAGGGAGAAGAAAAAGTGGGAAGAGAAATGAGAGTGAGGCAAGAAAATTATGAAAAAAGAGTCAACAGCTTGGTAAAGGAGAAACAAAAAATTACTGAAGGAAATAACACCTTAAAAAACCAGACTAGGCCAAATAGTAAAAGAGTTACCAAAAGCCAATGAGGAGAAGAATTCTCTGAAAAGCAGAATTGACCAAATAGACAAAAGGCACAAAAATTCACCGAAGAAAAATACTTCTTAAAAAGTAGAATTTGGGGCAGCTAGGTGGTGCAGTGGATAGAGCACTGGCCCTGAAGTCAGGAGGACCTGAGTTCAAATCCGGCCTCAGACTGAACACTTGACACTTACTAGCTGTGTGACCCTGGGCAAGTCATTTAACCTCAACTGCCTAAAAAAAAGAAGTAGAATTGGACAAATGGAAAAGTAGGTCCAAAAAAAGCTCACTGAGGAAAATAATTCCTTAAAATTTAGAATTGATTAAATGGAAGTTAATGACTTTATGAGGCCTCAAGAAACAATAAAACAAGACCAAAAGAATGAAAAAAAAATAGAAGGCAATGTGAAATATCTCATTGAAAAAACAACTGACCTGGAAAATAGTTCTAGGAGAGATAATTTAAACATTATTGGGCTACCTGAAAGTCATGATCAGGAAAAGAGCCTACACATCTTTCAAGAAATTATCAAGGAAAATTGCCCTGATATTCTAGAACCAGAGGGTAAAATAGAAATTGAAAGAATCCACTAATCACCTCCTGAAAGAAATCACAAAATGAAAATTCCTGTGAAATTATAGCCAGATTCCAGAGGTACCAGGTGAAGGAGAAAATATTACAAGCAGCCAGAAAGAAATAATTAAAATATCATTGAGCCACAATCTGGGTAACACAAGATTTAGTGGCTTCTATATTAAAGAATCAGAAACCTTGGAATATGATATTCCAGAGGGCAAATAAGCTAGTATTACAACCAAGAATCACCTATTCAGAAAAAATGAGTATAATACTTCAGGAGAAAAAGATGGATAAATTGTGGTATGTGATTATGATGGAATAATACTGTGCTATAACAAATGATGAGCAGGCAGACTTCAGAAAAAACCTGGAAAGGCTTACATGAGCTAATGCAATGTGAAATGTATTATGTACTAAATAACAGGAATATTATGTTATGATAACTGTAAATGACTTAGCTAGTCTCAGCAATACAGTGATCTAAGACAACTCTGAAATACTTAAGATGAAAAATGCTGTCCATCCCCAGAGCAAGAAATGATGGTGTCTCAATGCAGACTGAAGCATATTTTTTAAACTTTATTTTTCTTGGCAGTTTTATTTTTTGGTCTATCTTTTGTTTCACATGTCTAATATGGAAATGTTTTGCGTGACTACACATGTAAAACCTCTATCCAATTGCTTGCCTTCTCAAGGGATAGGGTGGGGCCAGAGGAAGGGAAAGAATTTGGAACTCAGAGTTTTAAAAACAAATAATAAAAATTGTTTTTGTGTGTAACTGGGGAAAATACTAAATAAATTAAAAGAAAGGAAAAATATTTTATATGGATCAGTTGAGAATATTTATCTGTCTACTTACATAGATATACGTACTTTCAAACTTCAAAGGGCTACATAAATGTTAGCATTTTTATAATCTCTTAAATTTATAAGTTAAGGAAATTGACATCTAGAGAGGTTAAGTAAATTTTCCCAAGTTAATGAGCTTTTATGGAGTTGGTTCAAGCTTTTGCATATATAACATAGAAAAAAAAATGTTCTTCTACCTCACTCATCTGCTCATTTTGGAATCCTTGGCTCCCTTCAAGGTTCAGCTCTGGTTTCCTCTCCTCCATGATGCCCTTTGTGATCCCTCTAGTTGTCAGTCTTCTCCTTCCTCCAAAATCACTTTTCTTTACTTTCTGGGTTTTATATTTACTTATCTGTGTACATAACTTTCCCCCAGAATGTAAGTTCCTTGAGGCCAGAAATTATTTCATTTTTGCCTTTGTATAATAAATCCGTAACACAATGTCTGACACAAAGAATATGTTTAGCAAATGCTAGTTGAATTTAATTTAAAGTCAACATTACATGTAAAGCTTCATCTAGCCTAATTTTTAATCTTTACATTCTTCCAGGAACATATTATTAAAATGCTTTACCCTCATCTCTTTTACAAACATGAAACACACCCACATTTGGTAACCACAGATACATAGAAAATGGGCTTTATGGGAGAAGATCAAAGACTGAAAAACAGTCAAATATGGTGATTGTCTTCATGTAGGGGTGAGGGTAGTGGTGATGAAGGTTAGAATTCTTGACTTGGTAAATAATATAAGATCTGTTATTCTATGTTTGTCTTAATGAATGAAACCACATCTAATTTGAAAATAAAAGCCCAGAATCAAAGGTTGTTTTTTTTTAAACTCCTTTCTTATAGCTTCCAGGTACATTCATAATTTGGAAAACAAACAAATTTGTCATAGCATCTGATTAGAACATATGGGGAGGTGGGAGATTTACTTAACAGTTGAGCTAATTTCATTTGGACTGATTTGGTAGCTAAATGTCTGCCAACCACCTTTCCACCCCACTTAGTTGGATAACAGAGGCTATTGAGTTGGAAATAACACAAGACAGCCTCAATACTAAAAGTCTGTGAATGAAGCACCAGGAACAGATTCTCTTTTTCTCTCTGAACCCAGCAGTCTGGCTCTAGAGTCTCTGGGTGGCTTAATGGCCTTTCAACCTTGACAGATCTCAACTTGACATGAGTCTGATACAAAAGTGTTTGTAAAACTGCTCTCAGGACCCACTAGGCAGGGCTTATCTTTTGCTTACTCACCCTCTTTCTTTTCTTCCTGTTTCCTCATTTTGCTGCCCTTCAAAGATGGGAAAATCCTTTGCAAACACGGATCACCAATTGCTCCTCACAATGCCTCTGTGTGGTCTTCAGGAATCACTCATTTGGCTTGGGGAGTAGATAACTTGGGAAATGTCACCTCTGAGGCTAATGAAGTGAGAACAATGGAGTTCACCTCTGAGGGGTCAGCTTGAAACCCCCTCCATTATAAGATTACAACTAACTAGACCCACACATTCCTAAATATCAAACTTCCTCAATCAAATAAGCCCAGAGCTACATTTCTATTTTGCAAGAGCATGTCATGTGGTCTGTAGGTAAGTTAGCACCTGATAAGGTCAACAGGGTCATAAATGCCTTTAATCTTCCCTTCTGCCTGTTACAACACTCTTAACCTGTAGCACAGTGGCAGATGGAAAAAAAAAAGAGGTGGTGCTTTTTTTCCCTACCTTTGAAAACATCAAAGGAAGTCATAGAAACATTTCCAATCTGAATTGTACACCACTGTGCAACACAAGCAATAGAAAAACACATTGAGATCATCAGAAATGGCTTCTGAAAAGCAAAATTTGAGCTGTGTAGCTGAATAGTGCTAGCAAGTACCCATCAGGGAAAACAAATTCCCCTCTTAAGTAAAGGTCTCTTTGGAGGGCATGAATGGAGTGAGCCAGGGTGAGAGTTCCTTTCAGAAAAGAACATTTCAAAAGGGGAATGGTTTGGATGTGGGAGGGGAAGTCAGCCACAGAAGCTGACACTTTACATGCAATTCATGAGCTACTTTGGAGCACTGAGTCCTGAGCCTCATTTTGTAGCTGGAACATCCAGTTCAGAAACTATTTGTAATTTCTTGCATTGATTTCAGTACCACTGAAGTGAGACATCTTCATCAGCAACAAAATAAAACAGGATAGGGAAGACTACTGTATATGTATGTGTGTGTTTTCCAGAGCAGTTACAGAATTACATTTTATCAACACATTTCATTTTCATCCCACCTACAGAACATTCACAAGGCACAATCCCCCTTCTACCCTTCTCCCTTTCCCCTGTTGATGAATTCCACCTGGGGCCTCCATTTCTAGAAGGGTCCAAGCCAGGCTTCATTTCCCTCACAGTGCTACTCCTCCAGACTTCAAAATCATGCCACTTTAGCAGGTTGCTTCTTCCCGCTGTGGGTATACCATTATGTTCAGGAACGAGGAAGAAAACAGTCTGGATAACATAAGGGTCATGTTTTAATGAACTTATTCACAGAAATATGCAAAAGGAAAGTACAATGGGAAGAAGTGGGGGAGAGGAGAGACAACAAAAGAGTGGTAGGAAGAACTGTTTGAAAAGATAGTGCTATTTACTACTGTGGTTCCTTTGCTTCTGGCCTGGTCCACAAAGCCAGTCAGGAAGCAGTTTGATAATAGCTTTAGGAAACCACACCCAGTGCTTTTCTAATCATACTGTGTAAGTAGACACATGGCATTTATGGACATTGAATGGATCAGGTGCTGAAACAAAATTAAGGGAGGAGATTTGGACTACTAATTCATACTATCAAATTGTTACACTCTTCTTCTTAAAAAATATCATTTCCCCCCACTGCTCAGAGTTCTTTTTTGTTTCCTCCCTGCCTTGGCCTTCTTAACATTTTTCTTCCATTTCTTTTCCTTTTGTGTATGACTGTAAGCTACATGAAGACAAGGCCTGTAGCTAACATAAGCTTTGTATCTACCCCAACAAAGTGCTCTCCACACAGAATTCCTGCTTTTGAAAGCATCAAAGGAAGTCAAAGAAACTTTTTTGTAATCTGGACCATATACCACTGAGCAATACTAGCAATAGACAAGCCCATCAGGATCATCAGAAACGGCTTCTGAAATGCAAAATTGAGCCATGAGGCTGAATACCGCTAGCAAGTACTCATTAATGAATGCAAATTCCCATCTTAACTAAAGGTTTCTTTGCAGAACATGAGTGTAGTGAACCAAAGTGAGGATTCTTTTCAGAAAAGAACATTTCAGAAGGGGAATGTTTTGAACGGGGGAGGGAAAATTGGCCATCGAATTGGACTTCACAACCTCATCTATTCCATGCCACTAGAACTCATGTGATCACTTCTTCAAAAGCAGCTAGCCTAGAGAAGAAGCACTTACAGACCACAGCCCTTCCTGGGCTCTTTTCTGGGAAGTGCTTTTTTTTTCCTTCATCTTATGCAGCAAGAAAGAAGGCAGAGTGCTCCTTCTGACTTCATTGTTTTCGTACTCTCCCCAGATCATCTAAAAGAGTAGAAATGCTCAACCTGAGGCAATATTACACTATCCCATTGGGGCAACAAATAGCATCAAAGTACTTTAAGATAGCAATGCCCAGCTAACAGAGAATGAGCAAGTGCTGGAAAACTGGACTTGGTGCAGTAATCTCTTCCCTTTTTCTCCTCTTCATTCTGTGGCTCTTTATTACTACTTGAACTGTTTTATTTAGCATTTCATAATTGAAAAGTACCTTACTAGTCTTCCTGAATGCTACCATTCATTCACACCACCCAATATTCTGCAAGATGACTAGGGCAAAGAAATTGCTGGAAGTGAAGTAAATGAATTTAGGTTGATGTATTTTTACTCAACATCCCATCTATTGTTGTATTTTATTTTTTGTAATAGAAACTTAGGCTGACATTTCACATTTTCAGTCATTTGTGATACTCAACCCATTTGACAGTGAAAGTGTTGAGTAATATTCTGTAGGGTACATAGGCATTAGCATTCTGAAATCAAAAGCCATATAACAAGTGCATTGCAATTCACTTTGCATTAATGTCTATGCTATCTACAGGCAAAAAGAGATTTTTCTGAAAGGGGGAAAAACACACTTTTTATTCTTCATTGGAAAGTGTAATAGAGTTCTTTATACATCAGAGAGTTCTATTCATTCCTTTTGAATGGGCATGAAAGTGTTGCCCTGTCTAGATAAAATCCACATATTCTCTCTTCCCATGTAAAATATCCACTTTTGAGAAGCTGGATGGGTGCTCCTGCAAAAAAACAAAAAAATCAGTTGAATATGTTGACACAGTTCTAAATGCTTCACATTAGATATGTCCTGTTAGAATAGTCCTCACTACTTAGTGATCTTCCTCATGGATATTCAGGGTTGGATTTAACTCACAATGGTTTCTGATTGAAAAGAAGAGAGTCCCTTTAAGAAGAGACACACATGGTTAGAAGTAGGACAAAAAGAATCAAAATAAATTAACTTATGTTCAAAAATGCTGCTTTTATGGTTGATTTTCAAAATACTGTATCTGTGAAAAATTAAGAGCCACAAGGGTCCAATTAGCTCAATGGAAGTCTAATTTATATGGCATGAAGTACTTGGGGGGAAAATATAATCTGAAGGTATGTTTAGTAAGGCTAAATTGGTGAAATCTTGCTGGGGCACAGCTTGAAGTCTATCTGATGATGTGTATTTCATTAAACATCATCAACTCAGAGTGGGTTAGGTGCTAAGAAGGACTGATCTGAACTTTGGGGCACAAGAGAAGCTACAACTTTTTATTCTTAAATATCGCTGGAAGCCATAGCAGCACCGTTTTCCAATACAGTGAGCACCGTAGTAAACAAGCTATAAAAGAGTGAGAGTGTTTCACCTAGTAGCCTGGGAAAATCCCTGGTGGCCTGGCAGTTAAAGTAAAAGTCGGCCCATTGGCCCATCGACTCCATACTTCAGGTAGCCTGCAAGCCACTGCTGTGTGCTATTATTGATTTAGGGGAGGCATGCACAAAGAAATCAATATCCCTTGGCAGTTGAACTCTTCAGATATTTGCTAAAGAACTGGATAGTCATGTTTCTGCTGGCATAGATGCTGCCAGTTTGGAGGCCGGTTCCCTCTGATTAAATAACGTCTCGTTTAGTAGTTATTGATAACTGACAGGTCAGCACAGTCACCAGTGTTTTACCATGATTAATCTAAACAAGAACAACCCATATTGACCTGTTTCTTTGGCATCCATATAAGTGAAGAAGATTTGTCATTTGCTAGGTTAGAAGTATTTCCTTCCATCTAATGAGCTGCAGGACCTCAATAGAATATATGTGTGTGTGTGTGTGTGTGTGTGTGTGTGTGTGTGTGTGCTTGTGTGTGTGTATGTATGTACGTGCATATGTGTGTATGTATGTACATGCATATGTAGGTATGCATGTGTGTATATGTGTGTGCCTATCTGGATAAAAAGTTCCAGGACCATTAGAATGCAATGTGAAAACTGAAAGATCGCTGTTTTCAACACACACAGGTACCAAGATCTCTGCTTATTCCATTCCTTAGATAAGAGGATTATGTGTATATGTAAAACACATGCACACACACATACAAACAATGCAATTCTGCTAAGAAGATGTATCAGAGCACATGCCACATTGGCTGTTGGTCAGTGTGTATGTATGAACATGTGTATGTACTTGAAAAATGGAATTATATATGTGTGTGTGTGTGTGTGTGTATGTGTATTCATTTATGGAGGACAGTTACAATAGCACCACTAGATTTGGATCCTGGCTTTGCTTCTTGTAGCTGTATAATTTTAGGCAAGTCACTGTATCTCTTTCAACTGAAAATGGGGGACTTGGACTAGGTGACATTGAAGGACCAGTCTAAATTTATGGCCCTATTATAAATTATAACTTCTCTGATGATGATGTTAATAATGATCAACATTTATTTTAATGGTTGCAAAAAAAGGTTCACATATTCTATCTTATTTGAGCCTCACAATAATCCTGTGAGGTAGGTACTAGATGAATGATTATGTACATCTTACAAATGAGAAAAAAGGACTACTAGGGTTAGGGAAAGAAGGAATGGAGGAAGGGAGGAAAGAAGGAAGCAAGGAAGGAAGGAAGGAAGGAAGGAAGGAAGGAAGGAAGGAAGGAAGGAAGGAAGAAAGGAAGGAAGGAAGGAAGGAAAGAGGGAAGAAAAAATGGAAGGAAGGAGGGGAGGGAGGAAGGGAGGGAGGAAGGAAGCAAGGAAGCAAAGAAAGAAGGAAGGAAGGAACAAAGGAAGGAAGAAACAAGGCCATTGAAGCATCTTTTTTAAAATGCCCTAGAAAAGGTAGGCAAGAAAAGAAACACATATAAACAGGGACATCTTTGAAAATTATAGTTTGGGCTTATGTAAAAAGAAAAATGAGCTGTACATAATAAATTTCTATAGTTTTATGTGCAATCTGCTTTATCAATTTTAATGTATATGAGAAT